AATCTGTGAGTGTGCCCCATTTTTCAAAATGTTCTCTTAAACTATCATCGGTAGTTTCAAAACTCAGACCACCAATAAACAGCTTCCTCAATTGCTCTGGCTGCTTTGGATCATGGCCCTCCATTTTGAGACCGGACTCGCCTCTTCCAACTCGAGTTCAATATGGGACCGATCCAGTTCTTCCTTGAGCCTAAATAATACTCCCCTGCACACACACGCCACATGTTCTTTACCCGGCATCTGCAGATGGGCACCTATGCTGGCTGGCTGCTGTGAGTTGCACCACAATGTGGGTATGTGGATGTCCCTATGGGGAGATGATTTCAATTCCTTCAGGTGTAAGGCAGCCAGGAGCGGGCAGCCTGACTCAGGGTGGACAGTAAAGTCAGTACACTAAGACAGAAACACACCTGAGAGCAGTATGAAGCACTGCCAACTCTGCGGCACAGTAATAATTGCATCCTCCCGAGGGACCGTCAAAGGATGGAGTCTGGCCAGAAGTGTTGACAAAACAATGTCAGGATTCAGAAGCCAGAAAGGAAGTGTAAAGAAATTATTGAGCAAAACAGGGTTGGAAGGTAGAGGAGAGAGAGGGGCCTGGGGAAGCAGCAGGTAATGAAATCAGATGCAGGAGCAGGAAAGCCCAGGCTGTGTGACTGCAGGGGGAGCTCAGGAGCTGGGTCTCCATGGTGAATGCAAGGCAAGTAGGAGCAGCCTCCCATGCCAGGGACCCTCTGACACAGGACTCTCCAGGGTTCCAGGTGCAGAGAATGGCAGCCTTGCAGCACAGAACGAAAGATGCAGCCACACATCATGGGGATGAGGAGCCACAGAGACGGATGCGAGGTGGGCGACTGTCTGGGCCACTTGCCTCCTTGCTGGGACGCAGCACCCACATCTCAACTTCCAGGATGTGCGGTGAGGTTTGCTTTCCACTTTAGAAATTTCAGGCCTTGCCTGTCAGTGGCTACAGGCAGAGGTTGCATGGTGGAAGGCTCTGGTGTGGGACTGCTCGCCTCTAGGTATCTGGGAAGCAGGGCATAATGGGAGGAGCTGGGGAGGAGTGAAACCCTTCCAAGCCACTCCCCAAAGACCACCTCTGCTGGCCAGGCCCTGCTTCCCACCAGTACGTTTAGCTTTAAAACCACCAGTGGGCAGATCTACCCGTAAGCATAGCACCCCCACAATTACCTCTCAAAAGTCCTTCCTATGATCAAATGAGGGTTGAGGGGCATCAATTTATAGACATAAAAGTGAGTAAAATGACTTTACTACTAAGGAGGTTCTTAGAAAAAATAATAGAGAATTTGGGCTGAGGGCTTAGGAAAGAGGTGACTTTCTAATAAGTTCGGAAGCAAACCAGTCAGATGTTGGACAGGTGTTCCCTATGGGCTGCAGAGCAGTACAAACTCAAGGCCGTGAAGATCTGCCTGTTCAAAACCAGAAAGTCAACTGACCCAGCCAGCGGAGGCGTCGCTCAGGGATTTAGGCTTGAGGGACTGGCAGCAGAGCTAATATTGCATGGGCTTGAGCTAAACACTAAAGCGAAGAGGGAAGCCGAAGCAGGGAATGAAGGCTGCACCCAACATGTGCCGGACTGCAGGGAGACAAGGCAAGTGAGACGCAGCTTCGAGTCTGTAAGAACATGGCAGGAGGCGCTAGGGATGTTCTTGAAGGAGATGAGGGGAACTGTGTCACGGGTAACCTTGCAATAGGAAATTTTTCTGAAGGCGTTTCAGTGAGCAAATCAGACGAGAGGAACGTGGCAAGGACCGCGGAGCGCTCCCTACCAGCGCCGGGTCTCTGCACTGCTCCTTCACGGTTTCCGCTTGCTTCTGCCTCCGCATGAGCTAGATCTGTGTTCTGGGACTGACTGCCAAGGGACAGGTCCTCTCACTTCTGTGGATTAATTTGGTGTGCGTGGATTCCTCTGGGACAATGGCTCTAGGTCCTGCAGATTTGCTTGTGTTTTCTGAATTAGGCAGGAGTGCTGCTGTAACGCTTTCATGCACCACCTGGCTTCTGGGGGGAAAGGACACACATACAGCCATTTACATCTTTTTAATTAATTAATTAATTAATTAATTAATTTTTGTACAGGGGATTGAACTCAGGAACTTGTACTTGCCAGGCTGGCACTTATACCACTGAGCTGTCTCCCTAACCCCTCATTTAAATCTTAGAATTGAGCCATTTGCTTCTCAGTTCCTCATCTGCTTCAGACTGAGCAGAATAAAAAATGGGGAGGCTAGAGCCCTACCTCTGGTGAGAACTAGAATTAAAGGTTTTGTTGTAATGTACTTTTCTTTCATAGAGGGTGACTCACTGATGGGGGGCTGTCTTTTAATTTGGGGAGCATTATGTAGTGCTGGGCATTTGGGCCCCCGTTATTGCACCGGACTCTCATGGGAAAATTTCTGTCTTGTTCTGTAGCACCAGGCACCTCCTGTGGAGTGACGTGGAAGATGGAGTAACAGACGCATCTGCAGCCTAGGCCAGAGTGGTGGTCCCAGGTCATCGTGCCACAGTGGGCTGTTGCATCACCTGGGCTAGAGCATGAAATGCTCCTGGAGATGACCACAGTTTTGCTCTGCTCCGCCCCATCTTTGAGTCAGCTGCTGACTCTACAAGGAATCCTGCAGAACTGGCCAGTGGCCATGGGCCAGGGTTCTTCCCGTGGGATTGTTCTCTTTCTTGAACAGGAGTGGGAAGGTATTGTGACAACACCCTTCCGTGGGCAGATGGTCCTCTACCAGAAGTGCAGCAGTTTGGCAATGGCCAGTACCTTGAAAAGAAAAGTAGGTGACAAAGAAAAACAGTGTCTGTGGCCAGAGGTCACCAGAAAAAAATCACCTGTCTGGAATCTTCTAGTTTCTGAGGAATATCAAGAGTAGTTTGAAATCATGAAAATAAAATAAGATGAAAACGCTGCTGAAAATAGGGTCAAAAATCCTGCACTGTTTCATGAATTCTACAACTGTACAAATTTTGCCTAACATTCTACTGAAAATCCAGGAGTGAAATTTTGTTTCAGTTTTTAAGATGTTCTTTACAAGCATGGCGATTATTAGTGGAAATATGTGGGGGATAGGAGTGGAGATATTTTGCTTAATAGATTTTAAAGTGATGAAACTGACTTGGTATGTAGAAGTTCTGTTTAAATCCAGATAGAGAGATGAGTAAAACTAGTTTTAAAGTGCACGCAGGTGGCAACAGCATCCATCCTGGAATTACAGGTTCACAATGTCTTGTAGCTGCTCTGTGCTTATGAACAATTACACTTATTTTGCAACATAGCTTCTGCATAATTATAAGAGCTCTGTACACAAACTATTATAATTTTGAACCCAAACACAATATACATGCATTAAGAGAAATTTTCTGTTGCCTTTCCATTTTTATCTTTGAAATGCTTTAGCTTTTTGAAATACAGCCTATGCTCCTTAGGTTGTTCTTGTATAACATTCTATGCAAAAAGGGAATAGACTCTTAAGTTATTTTCTAACAAATGCTACTCTGCCTGGTAAAGTGTCTCACTTCATCCCCCCACAAAGCCAGGATTTTCAAATATAGAGGTTCAAATCTCCGTTAGGTACCTACTCTTTCTGTTCTCGATCCAGGACCAAAGAATAGTGAGGATTGCAAATGTTGTAGAAAAACAGTTTTCATCAGCTCATACTTGTATGTCAGGCATTGTGCACACACTTTGCAGAGTCAATGGAGAGAGAGCATGTTAGGAACAACACTTCGGTTATTAAAAACTACTCAAATGTGGTTCAGCTTCGAGAATATGGGCATGAAACCAAGCACTGACTGCAGTATAACGATTTGATTTTCTTTTAGCTGACATGGCAAATCTAAGCACCCACCCTTCTTGCTTGGGTAGCTAGAGCCTAGGGGTGAATCCAGCGTGGTGTGAAGGAAAGGCAGGCTGGCACCAGGCCTCGGGCAGGCACCACCCCTCGGGCTCCAGGCTCCCCTGGAGTGACATGCACTCAGTCCTGAGCCATCTCTTACAACTCACTAAAAACAGAGCCGAAATACTTTGAGATACCCAAGATGAGGATGTAAATTATGAATTAAAGTTAAACAGAAGAAAGACAAAGAGATGGCCATATACTTAAGCTATCAGTGAGTGGTCTCCTGAAATTTTAGGGTCACAGACAAAGGCACACGTGGCACCCTGGACTTGTGAGTCCTCTCTTCTTGGGTGCTCTCTTACGGTCGCCAGGACGTTCTGACCAGGCCTTTTCTTTCTGTTACTAAGAAGAAAATAAACTTGAGAATAGAAACTAATGTATGGTTGAATATTGTTCATATTTTTTAAAAATCAAAAGCATACTAAGAAGAGGAATAGGAAGACTCTAGGATCTAGGTTTCTTTTTAAATCAATATTTCCTGTGAACCCAGATGCTGGATGCCAAAACCTGAGGAATCTAGCGGGAGCAACGGCACTGGGCATGAGAGCACAGGAGGCGACCTCCGTGCTAACAGGCACAGTTCTGCCCAGCAGGTCAGACCGAGGAAGCTGACATTCAAACAGAGTGGAAGTCCGGGGACACCAGACAAGCAAGAGGGAGGGGAAGGACTTCCACAACCCAGGACAGAGGCACAGGCCTTCAGCTGGCTTCTTCTAGAGGACGGGCAACCCTGTGAGGCCCTCACTTCTCTTGTTTGGTGTTATGTGGAGAGTCATGTTTTCTTTTTAAATCAGAAGAGACTACTTAGTATTTGCTTGATGACATATTCACTTAAGCACACTATCTCTAGAAACTTCTACAACCAGCTGGCCCAGTGATCTATGGAAAATTAGCTTTCCAAATTCCACTTATTGAGTCTGAGATATATTGAAAAATTTGTGTAACTTCATACATACATACATACACACACACACACATACACACATACAATCATATTTAATACCACCGATAGCTCTCAGTTTTATTACAATAAAGCTGGGTTGTCATGAGAAATATGATGCTATCTAATACTACAGGTCTTATGCCTGGTTTATATTGGGTTTATTGTTACAACATCAGGTTAAGGAAGCCCATAATCTAGTATGGTGCCAATCCTATATTGACTCATCAATTCAATTACTATTGGTTCTTACACAGATGAGCCAAATTAAGAAGCACTTATCTTGAAGGATGAATAGAAAAGCACAAACGTTTAGATTAGGTAAAAATAAAATTAGTAGAAATGAAAAATACGCTGTTATAGCTTTGTTTAGAGTGGCAGCTCCCAAGCTTGGGCTAAATGTTGAAATGGTTGGGGGCCTTGTTTGAAATACATTTGTCAGAATCCTATATGCAAAATCTAATTTAATAGAGCTTGGTGATTATTTTAACCCAAATTCTGCTAGATAGCTTTTGTCAAAAACTACAGATAGATATTTTAATTTGCTTTCTGTCATTAATGCTCTCCATGTTCAAAGTAAAATAGCATAAATATTATAGAATTAACCTAATTACAGAGCATTAGTAATTATCAAAATGGTCCAGAATTCTTAGAAATTGAGACTGCTTGTGGAAAACATTCATCTTTGTGACTGTTCAATTATGTACATAAAATATGGTATTTCTGGAAAATAAAACAGCAAAGAACCAAGATAAAAAAATGTTCATCGTTGTCACTGCCACCGACATTTCCTTTTTGATATTGATGCAAACATATATCAGAACATGAAGCTATATCTTGGCATGGCTTTTAAGTGTAGCAATATCTCATGCATATTTTTTCTCTCATTAGATAGCCTGTTACAGCACTGTCCTGCATGATTTATCTTTGCCCATACTGTAATTCATTTTAAAAATTTATGTTTTATAAAGTAGAATAAAAGCATAAATAATGCTGTATGCTTATATCTTTAGGATACATTTTCCCCTGAATCTTTTAAATTACTATATTTTATTCCAAGTAAGAATTAGGCCAGGTAGAATTTCAAGGGCGATCTTTCCTCACCGCGGGGAAGCTGATCTCTGTCCCAGTCTTTCTGGGGAAGGTCAACAGCTTGAACAAGCACAGACCATTCACTTACATTTTCCTGCACAAAAGGAGCTTTGGAACCTGTGATTGTTTCTTGCCCTTTTATTCATTTTTGTGGTGTCAAGGATCAAACACAGGATGTGTACATGGGAACAAGCGCTGCACCACTGAGCCACAGCCCAGCCCACTCGCCCGGCTGAATAAAGCCGTGACTACACTACACAGTCTTCCAAAGCACAGAAGAAAAGGGGCATGTGATCCATGGCAGCTCAAGGTGCTGCTTAAGGACAAAGGGAATTATGCTTGTAAAGTCTGGAAGCAACCTGAGAAATGTCTGCATTCTCCGCATGCAGCAAGAGGTCAGGAACAGAGGCAGAGGTGGGATCTGCTTGCGCTGATGAAGAACGTGGCAATCTCACACATACCACTCTGCAATACAGGGAAATCTACCTGCTGCAACATCTCTGAAACTCGCCTGTGTCCCATGAAATCCACGGTCCGTCCAGGCTCCTTTATGATAACTTCGCTCATATCTCAGAGAAGGGACAAACAAAATCTCTCTGACGTGACAAAGGCAAAGATACTAACAGAGATGGGAGTTACAATGGTCAAAATAAGCATGCTGCCTTTTGCAAAATCAGATTAAGCTACATTCTCAAACAGTAACGAATCACTGATGAGGAGTGCATCATCCGAAGACTGCTCCTGCAGACAAAGCGATTAGATCACAGGTTCTCCAGACGATGTGTCACCATGCGGTCTCATCTTCATTCAGATGCAGACAGGACAACTTGGCGCATGGTGAAAAGGTTGTGTTCAGGTGGGCTTCCTCGAATATTGAGCCTGAGTCTTTGCAACAGAAAGATTCAGCTCAGGAGACTCACACCATGTAAGCCACTAAGGACCGCCGCGCGCAATGCGGCGGTGCAGCGGTTTTCTCCTCCACCTTTTCGTCCCCTACCCTTCTCTCCCCGCTCCCCGCCCAGTTCTCCTGCCCAGGGGAACTCGAGCTTTTAAGAACAACAAACATCATCTTAAAATGACATATTCCTGTTTCATTTTCTTAATTTAATCTGAGCGGAGGAGCCTTTCCCAAACTCTCAGCACAGCAGACTGAGGCTATGCCTTTATTACAGTGGCTGAGCTTCTGAAAGGAACCATCCACCTTCAAGGGCAGATCACCACACAGGTTCATCAAGAAGTGGAACTTGGAGGTCCCGGGGAGATGGCTCAGTAGAATAAGTGCTTGCCTGGCAAGCGCAAGGGCCTGAGCTCAATCACTGGTTCTTAAAAAAAAAAAAGGTGTAACTTGGTGCTCTAAGGATTCTTTGTCCCCACTGTATTTTCTTCCACCTCAAATTATAGTCAAGTAGCATGTTACTAGAGTTTCTAGGGAGCAGGAAGTGAGGTGTCTTGTATTTATTCTTTCCTTTCGTTATCTACTTGTAAGTGAAGAATCCACTTTGTCCTGACATTCAAAGCCTTATATCAGTTAATTCTAAATAGCTTTTGCCCCCTCTCTTTTTCCTCATTCATCTGAAAACATACATTTTCCCCCCTAGTCAAGCCAAGGAGTACACTGCTCCCAGAAATGATCAATATTCCATCAGTACTCCCATTTAAAATGTGGCCCCTGAGTTTAGCACCTCTGCTTATGATACAGCCTCCCCAGGCCCTCAGGATCTGAGTTCGAGTCGCAGTCCTCTGTTAGCACACGGAGCTCCAGGTTGGGATGTGTGCCATCCAGCAGCTCAAGGCTTAGACTATTGATTCAGTTACACTTTCTGCCCCCGTGCTTCCAAAGGAATCCACGCTTGCCTGCGGTCCAGCCCTCCGTGGGCTCCTCTGTGGCTCCCGGCAGATGCACGGTGTTTTCGTGCTGGACCTTTAGATGG